GTGTTTTTCCCTTTGACCCACTCCAATCAAATCCTGCAGCATCAGAGGTGCCATGGCATCCTGAATTCCCAGGAGACTAGAGGAGTCAAACTGGATTTTTGAGTGTACTCCCTACCTGTATTGCATGAAATGCAGTGACACCTCATGGGTTTAGTAAACACACAGGCTGCCACAGAGAGTCTGCAACAACAACTCCAGCTTATGTTAAACTGCAGGATAGTCCTGAAAACACTGAATTGCTGTTCACCCAAAAGAACTCTGTGGCATAATCTTCAGGTTGCAGCAAAGAGGAATAAGCTCAAAAGTTGCACAAGCTTTTTGGCATTTAAGATAACTCCACAGTCATTTACTCCTAGAATTTCTTCTTATTCGGTATTGTAAATAGAAAATTTTAGTATTTTTCCATCTGTATTTTACTGTATTGCAACAATGCATACCACACACAAACACAGTATTTCCGTGTAGGTGATGCTACATACAAGAAACCAGGAGAGAACAGGACTACACTGTCATACTTTACTGCCTGAAGCACCTGCACCCATACACAACTGTCTTAATACAGAGTATAGTCACAGGAAGAGCAGCATTTCTGCAAGCCACTGGATGCAGTTGGCATATCACAAGCCCAAAAACCAGGCCACTTATTACTTGTAATAAATTTGCTACTGTGTGTACACTTCAATGAAGAGTACTTTGAAAACCAAAAACCATTACCTGTAACCAGAAAACACCAAAGCATGCCCTGATCAGTAGGTTTTCCTGTTAGATTAGCAAAGACTTCTAAGGTGGGAAAGGAAGCAGGTCCTTCACTGTAAGCAGAAAAAAATGCTCATCGTATGCTACTCTTAAAAAAGAAATACAATTTTTAGAGTAATGAACTTAATTAATAAATCTAATTATGCTCATCTTAAAAAAGAAATACAATTTTTGGAGTAATGAACTTAATTAATAAATCTAAACACAACAGCCACAGGAGGAAGTTACCAGAACTGAGAGTCAGATATGAGGCAGACAGAAATTAAAACCAAATATGGCCATTAACTGTGTTTTGTCACAGTATTTCAGTTCAGTACTTTATTTTCTACTGCAGCCTTCATGTTTTGTTTTCTAAATCACTACAGCAATTCAGTAAGAAAGCTAGTTTCACTAACTGAAATTAAGGGCTAATTGTACCAGAGCACTGCATAGATAAAACACAGATGACAGTATTACAAAGCTGGAGACTGGTGTCCACATGGAGAAATGTAATTTAAAATGAGTTTATTTCAATTGGTTTTATTAGCTATCAGCAGTATACAAATTTGAATCAAGAAATAAAATTACAGAAGAGAATTAGCTTGAGTTAATTCATGGTTGTGAGGTTTTTTCCTTTAAGGTTATAATCATTTTTATAAAGGATGTCATCAGCAATGAATTCCAGACTGTCTAAAACACAGCCCCACTATTTCTTCATTCAGTAACTGATAATTTATCAAAAATCCAAGATTGTTCTAAACATTTTTAACAAGTATTTAATTAACAATTTTATTAGCCTCTTTATATATTTTAAGGTGTTTTTTTCCAATTTTTTACACAATACAGATTTTTAAAAAGCACTTAAGGATCCTATATTGCAAATTTTTTTAACTTTCAAAACTAGCAATAAATAGATTGTTCCCATGAGAAGATGAAATCCACTATTCAGTATACCACATGTCTTGACTTCTCCATACTTCACATATAAACATAGAATTTTCTAGCTGGAATATTGTTTTAGAACACTAATTCCCCACTGTTTTAATGCACATCAATTTATGACTTCAAGAGCTTCTACTTCCTGCTAAGCACAGGTTTAACTTAATTAGATAATTTGCTACAGTCTACTAAATACCACCTCAGCATATATGTTCGTCCTCCTTTTTCTTTCCTGCCTCACAGACAAGATCAATAATAAAATAAAGCTTCCAACATCTAACATTAAGGTTGTTAAGAAATAAAGCCTGTAAAGGAAGGGAAAAGAAAGGCATATGCAATGTAACAAGTTGCTGCAAAATTTCTGCTCTGTAAAGATGAAAGAGCAGTAAGGGGAGGCTGAGCCAGAAAGCTGCACAATGAAACAAGTAAAAACATCATCAGTCTTAAGGCAACCTTCATTTGAGTCCGCAGTGTGATTACTTGTGTGTCTGAAGAGAAATCCTTCTTTAGCACTTAATTATGGTGATACAAACGATGTTATGAACCGTATCGATCCTGGAAAAATAAAGATAACCAGACATGAGTATGTTTTCCATTGAAAGAAATCAGCTTTACTTCCACTTGTACAAAAAATAGCAGCTAAATTCTTAAAGACATACAGAAAATTGACCAGCACTTCCAAGAACTGGAGTTTAGGGTTAAACTATCTGACCACAGAATATTCAGAGCTGGAAGGGACTCACAAGCATCACTGAGTCCAACTCTTGTCCCTGCACAGGACAGCACTGTCCAAACACTCCTTGAGCTGTGTCAGGCTTGGCACTGCCCTGGGCAGCTGTTCCAGTGCCCAAACACCCTCTAGGGGAAGAGCCTTTCCCTAATATCTAAGCTAACTGAACCTCCCCTGACACAGCTTCATGCTGTTCCCTCGGGTCCCTCATGCCACTCCCACTGGTCACTAGAGAGAAGAAGTCAGTGCTGACCCTTCAGTTCCCCTTGTGAGGAAGTTGTATACAGTGATGAGGTCACCCTCAGTCTCTTCTCCAGGCTGAGCAGATCTGGGATAACCAGACTGATTCTCAAACACCTGAGAGCTCCCACTGAGCTCATAAAGGGAATGCAAACTGACTGGAGCATGCCGCACACTACTGAGGCTAGGATGTCTCCATTTTGTGCACAAACAAGGATCAAAGGTGTTATTGTCAAGTCAATCAAAGAGCCAATACAAGAGTTGGGCTAAAAGATCACTGTAGGTCCCTTCCAACTAAACTATTCCATTTGAGTCAGGAACTACTATTACTTCAAAAATGAAGTCACAGCAAATAACTGTCATGATGGAATATTTGTTTTAATTGAAAGAAAGGCAAAAAAGGTATTCTAAGGAAGGTGAGCTCTCACCTACAGAGTTATTTCTAAAAAGGAAAAGATCTACTGTCTACTATGAGAGGTCTAACAAAGCTCAAACCCATTCTTTTCTCCCTGATGATGATCTGACAGCAGGATTCATGATACCAAATCCCTACAAGATAACTTTAACTGAGGGTTAATATACTGTAATAGTTTTACTAACCTGTATAGATGTCATGACTCCATTAGCAAGTACTGAAAGCTTTCCAGCCACTGATTTCACTCCTTCTTTAAACTGAGCTATATCTGGAGCTGAAGGCAAGACATTTGTAATATTGTAGCTTCCTAAAAGGAGAACACACACACATAGAGGGAGAAAACAGAATTTTATATTAAGAGCAACCTCTGAAGTGTAATGTATGACTAAGAGCACTAGACAAGAGACACCAAGTGTCTTAAAAACATCTTTCTTCTGATTTTTTTCAGTTTTTCATAATTCCACCCGAAGTGTTCTCTTTCTACACTTTGTATTCCTAGCTGAGTAATTAAAGTTTGGATAATAGATGATTTATTCTGCACTTCCAATCTGTGACAATGTTGTCTTGTATCCTAAACAGCTGTTATTCCCTTGCAACTTAGAGATGAACGTGCTTCAGTGATGGCTGAAGTGATGCACCCTGTTTGTGTGCATGCAAAGGGATGATTTGCATGCTGTACATACACGTTTTGCATTACTACCTCTAAGACTTGGAAAATTCTAAGAAAAGTCAATGTATTTTGGACAGAGTTAGCTCTGCTGCTATTATGAAAAGTGCAGGCTTAAAGGTAACAGAAAAGAAATCGAAGATGTTTCAAAACTACCTGCATGGTATGTGCTAACAATTACAATCACTCACTCCTTGGTGAAAATAATTACTGGCACAACTTAATATTAAATATTTGATACTGTAAAATGCACAAATGGTGGTAAACTAGCATCACAGAACTATGATCACTGAATCATAGAATGGTCTGGGTTGGAAGAGACCTTAAAGACCATCTCATTCCAACCTCCCTGCCACAGGCAGGGTCACCTTCCACTACACCAGAGTGCTCAGAGCTCCATCCAGCCTGGCCTTGAACACTCCCAGCGATGGAGCAGCCACAGCTTCTCTGGGCAACCTGTGCCAGTGCCTCACGACCCTCATGACGAAGAATTTCTTCCTAATCTCTAACCTAACCCTACACTCTGTTAGTATAAAGCCATTCCCTCTTGTCCTGTCACTCCAGGCTCTTGTCTAAAGACCCTTTCAGCTTTCCTTTAGGCTCTGTTCAGGTATTGGAAGGCCACGATTAGGTCACCCTGAAGATGCTGGGAATAAATGGAACTCCTGAGAGGAAGCATCCCCAAACAGACAATTTGAAACTGCAAACTGTATCCTTAATTTAGCCAGGCAGCCAACTGAGAGTCACAACCAGTCAGCACACAACTGGTAACTTGTGAGCAGTTGCTGAGCCTCAGAGAAGCTCATCCAACCCTCACAACTTTCGCCAGCAGCTCTGTACAGGACATGGCTACATGCTGGACACTTTTTCTCTTCTGTTTTGTCTTTTGAACAGGCACAGAGGAAGAAGAGAGAGAACCAGCAGCTCCTCCTTTCATGGGAAATTAAAGGCACCTGCCTCATTAGCAGGCTGAGAAAGACAGTACCATAGATAATTTGATATACCTAAACCAAGTGGCTGGTTCGTAGCAGCAGATGAATAATCACATCCAGAGAGCTTTCCATTCCAATCCCTAAATCCAGCTAGTAGCAGTTTGTAAAATGCATGGGCACTCTTTTTTTGTAACTTATTTTCAAAAATTCACAGAGACAGGCCTATTTTTGAACTGTAATTCTGAATTCCTTATGATCTGTTCCACTTATCAAATGCCTCAGTGTTTTTCTTATTAAAGTTAGTCAGGGAAATAAAATGTGCAGATATAAATAACCTCAGAGAAGTTTTAACCACTTCTCAGCCACATGAATTCTCTCATGGTTTTCTGGTTATGTATGGGTGTCTGGGAAAGTTCCCATAAACGAGGCAGGAAAACAGTATCTTTTCTTATGATTTCCTTCATAATCAGCACCTGACATGTCATTCCACAACCATCAGGTTTGAAATAATGCAAAAAGAGCTTTTTTTGCAGCCCCCTCTTTTTGGTAAACAGCTTCTACAGCATTCTGTACAAAAGCAAGCAGCCCCAAACTGCTCTACTCTAAAATCTCATCAGTGCTCATAAAAACAACTTGATATTCAAAGGACATTTTATTCTGGCGAGGGCCCCAGAATTACAGCAGCACTTCTGCTGCCAGTCTCCTGATTACCTTTATTTTATGGAACTAATGATTAATTCAACACCAGACAAGCTATCAGTGCAGTCAGATTTCTCCAAGAAGGGCCACTGTCACCAGACAGTTTTTGAGATGGAGGGTGCAACAGAAAGACATGCAGGAAAGGAATATTCTGCACATTGATACAGTGTGAATTTAATATACAAACTAATAATTCCTGGTGTATTTTTTCCTCGCTATTACTTATGAGCAGTTAACAACCCACAAAATTTAGCAGAAGTTTAGGCTTTATAATATAACTTTGAACTTACTGTTGGGTTACATGCCAGTCACAGAGAGTGACCAAATTCAGGGGCAGGCAAGGATTTTTCACCTCATTTTTAGGAATCTCTGCATTCCCCCACAAGCCTTAAGAATACTGAGCCTTGAACAATCATGTGTGCACAACTCATTTACACATATTAAACATGATAATTGCCTGTCAGTATCCTCAGTAAGCAGAGTATTTTATCACATACATATGTATGTGTACATAAAAAGGTATACTCATATATAGATCACATTGATTTGCCACACTGTTAACTTATACTTATTTTTCTAGTTAATTCTCTTATTCATTACTGTTTACAAAAATGTTATCATAATCTCATGTATTATTGAAAATACAGTTTAGAAATTCTGAAACACCGTTTCCTCTACATCATTTTTCAGTGTGACAGCATGCTGCAAATGCTGTTTCAGGCAGCTAAGTAAGTTACTTTGATTTCTACTTTGTGTCTCCTTCCCTCCTGATTTCTTTTTTAAAAATTTCAAATTATTAAACCCCATTTTTACTTAGGTAACTGGTAACAGAAGTTACTGCTCTATTAGTTTATTCAAAACTTGCTTTCAGGGGATGAAAACTGAACAGTGGCAAGTTTAAGTGTTTTTTTCCTCCAACTTTTCCAAGTAAAATCAGATGCTGTGTACAGTTTGCTTTGCTTTTTCAGCCTATTAAAATAATTATTTGCAGACTTCAAGTGCTTCAGTCACTCTTTTTTCCCCCATTTCTTCACAAGTTAAGGAATGAAACTTAACCAAGCAAGTTAATAAAAGGTTCCAGTACTTCCTACCTTTTCTATTACACATTACTGCACACTCCAAAAAGAGTGTTGGAAAGAAAATGTGAGAGATTTTCAATAGCCAAAGGGACTACTTTTCAGTCAGTCTGATCTAATACTTCCTTTCTAATTTGATGAATTATGCTCTCCAGTGTGACATGTTCAACAAATCTTTGAAACAGATACTTCAATTGAAAAACTTCCTTAATAATTTTTCAAGCCCAGTATTAGAAGCGAATATACTGATGAATGGATATGCCATGCAACAGATTACATGGGAATTTCAAGGCCACTAGCATTTTAAAGATTTTTCTTAGATCAACAGCTATTTTCAGATACATAAATATATGTTATTACTCATAGAATATCAAGGGATTGGAATGGACCTTAGAGATCATCCAGCCTCAACCCCCTGCCCTGGGCAGGGACACCTCCCACCAGAACAGGTTGCTCAAGGCTTCATCCAACCTGACTTTGAACACTGCCAGGGTTGGGGCAGCCACAACCTCCCTGGGCAACCTGTGCCAGTGTCTCACCACCCTCACAGGGAAAAATTTATTCCTAATATCTAATCTAAATTTTCCTCTTTCAATTTAAACTCATTACTCCTTGTCCTACCACTGCAGTTCCTAACCAAGAGTCTCTCTTCAGCTTCCTTCTAGGCTCCTTCAGATGGTAACGCATCAAAGCACTACCTGAAAGTCCATTTACGTGTTGCCTTATTGTTTTATAGAACACAATATTACAGTTTTCCTTTGATAAAACTTATTTACAAAATAGTCTGTTATTTGCAACAAGTCACATTAAAAAAACTAGTATAAAATATTGAACTTGCTGAACTGAAAATAAAGAAGTTGAAATTTAAGAGGTTCATTTTTTAAATGACTACACCTGCTATGCCTGTTTGACCTATTAGCAATATTCTTGCAGAATACAGATACAGTTGATACTGTGACTAGAAGCAGAGTACAAGACCACATTCCCCACATGATAAAACTTCTTTCTTTGTTCAGTACGTACCTGATGGTTGTTTTTTCTGATCTTGAAACAAGTCAGCAGAACTTATAGATGTGCTTCCAGAAAGCCTTTCTAGTCGAGCCCTTGCTTCATACTTGAAAAGAATTGAGAATAAAAAGCATTTTAACAGTATGCTCTCATCTTTTGTGGTCATGTCAGGTAATTCAAGAGATTACAGACTGGTTTAGAACATACAAATCCAGCTAAAGTTGATCATGCTGAAAGCTGGTCCCATTTCATAGTTTTTACATCACTTATATGGAGTTTGTCATGAACTCATTTCTGAGTCATCCAAGAGTGACATTTACCACTGCAATACCAAGAGGCCTACTCACTTGTTAGTCACCCTAAAACGGCTGAAGAACTATGCAGCTACTAAAAACAACAACTAAAACATGTGAAATGGAGTGGTTGGGTAGGAGAAAGAGAAAACTGCAGTTAACACCATGGTGACCCTTCTAATCACATGATGCTTTTACTTAAGTTTTTCCCCAGTTCCCTGTGAATGGGAATTTTATTTTTTACACTACTCTTTACATTGTTAATTTTTCATTAAAAAACTATCCCTCATGTCCAAAATGCAACATAATATTAATCTGTTTTTTATTTCTAGGCTGATTCAACTACATTCAGTTTGTTGAACAATTTGTTTATGCAGTTAGCTTTACAACAGTAACAAACACACAGTGGGCAGATGTTTTAGCAGTGATTTGTTGACACCAGTTTAGGAATTTAGACCAAGTGAATTAAGCCTTCACCCAGCATCAGGCTGATTCTTTCAAAATTAAGGACTGCTGAATAGCCTACTCCTTCTATCAGAGTAGAAGAATGATGGAGGTAAGGTCCTACCTGCAGCTGCAACTCCTTAAAATGAAATACTAAACTATTAGAGCCATCAGAAACATGTACATTTCTATCAAAGAAATATTCAAGTGGACATAATTGTATAAGCTTCCTAATTCTAGCAATGTTAGCTATTTATTGCCTTCCCTTTGTACAAGAACACCATGTTTGTAGTTGAAGAATGTATTTTAACATTCAAAAATATTTATCACTGCTTTCTACTTACATCAGCATGGTCCTGCCTTCCAAAATACATGTCTGAAGAAATTGCTTTTACATTGCCAAATTTTTTTTGGGCCTCATCTGTGTTTGAAGGTGGTTCATACTCAGGCTTACGATGAGATGCAGGCCTAGAAGAAAAAGAAACTGCATTAAGTGACTGTAATTTTATTGACATTGTGGCAGAATGCAATATATTAAACAAGGAGCACTATCAACTTTGCTTTGAGAAGCCTGATTTTACTTATAATCGTGATTTTTTTAAACAAAAATTAAACCAGCATCAACCCAGGATAAAGAAATTGAGATAACTAAGTTGATACAGCAGCAAATGAATTTCAGTGACAGTTTTACAACACACTGAAATTACAGTTTTTTGAATTCATTAATCTTGTATCTTTATTTTCAGAGTTCACTTAAAAGGCAAGCTAAGTTGTGACAAAGGACAGAATATTTCTATAAAACCTCAAAATACCCAAAACATGCCAGTGAAATTCAGATTTAAATGTAATAGCATAAGAAGGTTCAAACTGTCACTGCCTTCCACCTCAAACACATGTTCAACATTTGCCCATTTTTTTGTTGTTGTTTTAATGCAAAGGTACTCAGATAAGGAGGTAATAGTGTTACAGACATGAACACCTATTTTGTGCAATATGCACCACTGTTCTACTCTTTAGGAAACAACAGAACATGCTTGTGATAATAAAACGAAAGACCTTTTATTATCACAACAATCAGACCTGTTGTTTCCAAGTATCTCCTTTGCCTTTAGCCTCAGGGCTGAATACCCTACAGTTTCATTCATTTGGTAACTCTTCTCTTTGGTCTATTCACAATAAACAAAGGAAGTACTGGCTCAGAACAGGGCAAATATTTGAGTTTCTCTCCACATCTTTTGTCTACTTCTCTTTTTGCTGAAAGGCTTTGGAAATTACCTCCAGTACAGCACTGAGCAAAACAGACACTGCTTAAAAGGTAAAACAGCAATTCAGTTTACAAAAATAATTCAGCCAGGAGGTCTCTTGATTGCTGCCGAAAGCTATGGCCAAGTTCTCCTTCTACAGACTGAAAATAATCCAACTATGATGGCCAGGACTCACATCACATTAACAAGCTTGAGCTTTCTGTACAAAAATCAGTTAAATTCTCTTGGCATACCTGTCTGAAAATCCTGTGCTTTTTGAAGTTAACATTATATCAATATCTCTACTATTATTTTCTTTCTTCCAAAAAGAATCTGAATTGTCATCCCATTTAGAGAAAGTGCTGCTCCTTAAATCTGAAGAATCATAGTACCTAGAACAAAAGAAGAAAAAAAACCTCAGCTATTGAAAAGTAGAAACTTTACATTGTTAAGACAAATATTGCTATAGCAAATGTTCACTAACAAGTATGTTTTCAGCAAAATGGTAGTTGTTAGGGAATAACCTGGATTTCATAGTACTGGTTAGAAGCCTTGTACAGTTGAATCCAATGGATTTTTGTGTTTTTTACAGATGTATTTATCTGAATAAAAAGTCTGGCCTTTCTTTTGGCTGGACATGGCCATGAATATACAACTGCCTGAACTACATGATCCCACCAAAATTGGCAAATTCCTCATTACTTCCAAGTGTTACATCTTAGTGTCAGACAAAGCATTGGGAAGAACAAGAAGACACCTGGTTGGTTTAAGAGCAACACAAAGGATACTTTGGGATGGAGCCTGTGAGCAAGGCCCCGTGAGAACCCCAAGGTAACCTGACCCTACGATACCAGCCATGAACTAAGCCACCACAAATTTCTAGGCACTTTGAACATGCCAAGAGATCCAAGAGCACATAGCTAACCTAACTACCCCATGACATCCAACTGTGCTGTAAAACATACAAGCAGAGAATCTGCTCTCATTTTCTGAGGCATCGACAAACAGCTCAGGACACTAAGGAAAGGCCTTGGCTCTGGTTCTGTGCATTTTTCCAGTACAAATATTAAGTACCTCTGAGTTTTGTAACATGTTTTATTAAAACAATGCTAAAAACATGTCTTAAAAGTGAGTCTTAATTAATATGACAATCTTCTCATGCATACCAAAATTACAGGGAAAACACAAAAAAAGAAAGGGAGAACAAATGAAGCATGTTTGGCAGTTCTGGTGGTATGTTATCTTGACCTTTTCCTCCTTTGATTATCTACACATATCTAAACATATATGAAAATCCTTGGGGAAAAAAAAATCAAAAAATATTAAGTTGCCAAAGATTAAGAAAATGTATTTAACCACACAGGGAAATTCTTACAAGTCTGAATTATGACCAGGATAGGGAGTAAGATGACCAAAACAACAGGAGGCAAGGAGAATGGAATAATTCAGTAGAACAAACATGGGATATTAAAGTCTGCATCTGTATTTTGTGAAAAGCACTCTATAAAGTTCTCCATGTTTGTGCTATGAATAGTCAGGACACTTGTTTTTGCAGTTTATAAGAAATGTGACACCTCCAGCTGCAAAGTCTCTCCCCACTGCCCATGGAAAATAGCAAGGACAGGTCTTCAATGGACTTCTACAAAAAGCAGGAGTGTCTCTCTTGACAGACAAAAAGAAACCACAACAATCTTTATATAAACTGCACATGGAGATGTAAAAATGACCTAGGTGTTTCTATGTATATGAAGTTTTCCAGTCTCACAGTCCCCACCAAAAACAGGGCACTGGGCAGGGGCTACAGAAGCTGATTTGAATAAAATTCTTTATTTTCTCTATCCTTCCCTCTCAGACTTTCACAATTT